TACGTATTCTTGGTTTGTATATTTAATAATGATAAAAATACTATGGATTAAATGATTGAATTGATTTAAAATAGACTATTCTTTTATAAGAAACTAGCGACCCGCCCCGGCTTCGCACGGGTGCAATATGTATATACATACAAACCTTCCTTAAGAATCACTCTATCTATTAAAAAAAACCGTATCAAAATCCGTTGCGTAGTTTTAAAGATCTAAGCATACATACGGACATACAGCGAAAGCGACTTTGTTTTATACTATGTATTGATAAAACCGAAACCGAAATAGTTAATTCTCATAAAAAAGAGAAAAGTTTTTCAAATAATCCAAATACAAATTTGCTTACTCAAACATACAAGTCCAAATTACAACACTTCACTTTTTTGACGGGAATTTCAAATAGCAATAAAAAGATTTTTAATACTAACCCGGATCATTTCCTAGCCTGTACAGCCCAATCTATACATATAAAAATGAAACTCGTTTCCCATTGTCACGCCATAACTTGAGAACGGCTAGACCGATTTGGTTGATTCTTTTTTGTTGTGTTTGTTATTGTCAGGAGAAGGTTCTTACGCCAGAAAAAAATCCTGAAAATCCTACGGGAACGGGAGAAACCGGGATTGCGCGTATGAAGTCGCGGGCAGGAGCTAGTAAGTAGTAAACTATAAAATACAACCGAGCAAATCGAAGCAAAGAGATCGTGTATCAACCAAGTGAAAAGTTACCCAGTTTGAAAGCGCTCTAACAAATTGTACGAATGCATTGCTTAGTTTACAAATGTACGGAGTTTTTAGCGCAATCCATGCTTCCTTGCCATCGGGATAGTTTTAATTTTAGAAATTGTAGCTTGTTATATACTAAAAGGCTTTGTATTTGAACGTGAGTGTACTATACCTATGTATTTAAAGTTTGTTGAAATTAATATTCAGATTTCTAACTTTGTACCGAATAGGTTACTGTATTATACCTCTACAATTTAAGTTATCGACATAGCCCAAAGGATCAGTAAGCTGAAGTGGCAGTGGGCCGGTCACATTTGTCGAAGAACCGATAACCGTTGGGGTAAACGTGTTCTAGAGTGGAGACCGCGTCTGTGCAAACGCAGTGTAGGGCGCCCTCCTGCTAGGTGGAGTGACGACATCTGCAAGGTGGCTGGCAGTGGTTGGATGAGAAGAGCTGAAGACCGAGCTCAGTGGCGTGCCATAGGAGAGGCCTATGTCCAGCAGTGGACGAATACAGGCTGATGATGATGACCTCTACAATTTCAGGCTCAAGTGTATTTTAGCTTGATCGTTTTTTTATTTAGTGGTGGTGGCAAGTGGTCGCCAGTGCGACTGCCAGCTAAAGGGTCTCGGGTTCGATTCCCGGGTCGGGCAAAGTGGCACAAGGGCATCTATTGCAATTGTGCCCGGTATATAGCAATAGTCTCACCCCTATTACATAGGACTCATAACATAAATATGTAGTGAAACGTGGGTTTTACATCGTACAATAGCATTAAGTGCCGTAATGTGCACGTCTGCCCAACCCTTTAGGGATAAATGGAGCGAGGTTATATTTATTTAAGTCAACAAAAGATTGCAGGCTGTTAGTAAACATCTGTTGTGCATCTAATGAGATTCAAAATTCGATGATATTTATGAAATTAAAAAGAAAAACAAATTCCACTAAGAACTAAACCAGTGGTTTCATGTTTATTAATTGTACTAATAATAAAATTCTTTATCCGATTTGGGCATTGCACTCCAGTTTGACAAATTTGCAACCAATTATCAGATGAAATCAGTGTATCAATGATTCCAATTAATCATTGTTGTGTTCTAGAGAGGAGTAATTATAATTATAATTTATTAATAGTATAACATAAGATAGCGTCTTATCTCAAATGAGTTCGTTGTATAACTGAGTGGCACTTTATGTCAATCAAATTGTTTGACGTCAATCACATTATCGATATAAATATAAATGAATTTGTGTTCGTCAGTCTCGCTTAAACTCGAAAACGGCTGCTGAACCGATTTGGCTTATTTTGGTCTTGAAATGTTCGTGAGAGTCTAGGAAAGGTTTAAAAGGTGAGGAGAAGAAATTTTAGGTGGTATGAAGTTCGCCGGGTCAGCTAGTAATATTATAAATGAAAGTTTCTTTATTTGGATGTTCGTCCTTTAATCACGTTGAAACTACTAGACGGATTTTAATGAAATTTGGTATACAGGCAAGATATGGGCTGACTTAGGTGATAGGATACTGTTTATTCCAATTAAATACTCCAATGGGATAAAACAGGAATTATATTCAATCATATCGACTTTGACGAAGTCGCGGGCGAAGTTGTAAACATACTGTACAATTTGGTAGTAAGATCCGAAGTTACAAAGTCAATAAGAAAACGTATATAGTAATTAGTCACTAGATTAAAATATGTGAGGTTATTTATACGAATTAGAAGATTTTTCACGATTAGCATAACATTACAATTTAAATAGTAATAACGCCATGATCAAATTGCTGTGTAACGGTCGAATGTTTGAGAAATAAAAAAAGTAATTTAATTAACAATATGAATAAAGTTTAAATTCAATCGTAAGTTAACGTTAACAAAATCGGTAACTATTTTTGAGAAATGTTCTAAGAGACGACTGCCTCGATGGCGAGTATTCGCAAGTGCGACTACCGGGCAAGGGGTCTCGGGTTCGATTCCCGGGTCGGGCAAAGTAGGTACTACCGGTTTTTTTTTTAATCTCAGTGGTAGCACGGCGTCTGGAAATGTGTCCGGTATATGGCAATAAGCTTACCCCCATTACATGGGACTCATAACATAAATAGTAAAAAGTGGGTGTTACTTCTGTGTGCACCACCTTCCCCTTCAGAATTAAAAAAGCGTGATGTTATGTTTGTATGTACGTTCTAAGTTTAACACGCAAGCCTAAAATAGTCTTTATTGGTATGTACGTAAGTAGAAATGTTATCTTTTGTTTTGTTAACCTGCCACTTATTATTATCATAAATTATCGAAACAAAATGATAAGGAGATATACGATAACCTGAGTGAATCATCATGTACTCGTTTTTCATCATCTTAACTCGTGAAGTACCGTCATTATAGACACAATTATAGAACAATAGGTTGCGGTCACCGGTGACCGCTTGGTGTTTGACAGTTTAACTAACACTTGATGCGACGTCATAACTGTTATTCCCTCAAAGTATAAAGGTACTGCTACACGTCCGCCAAAATAGCATGCTAAAATGTGTTTAATGAGCATGCTCAATAACGTAAAAAAAATTAAGAGCCTGTTAAAGAAAGACATAACATAACATAACATAACATCACGCCTTTTGTCCCCAAAGGGATAGGCAGAGGTGCACATTACGGCACGTACAATGTAACACCCACTTTTCACTATTTAAGTTATGATTCCCATGTAATAGGGGGTGAGCCTATTGCCATATACCGGGCACAATTCCAGACTCAGTGCTACTACTGAGTTTTCTAAAAAACCAATAATACCTACTTTTCGCATTTTTTTTTTAAGAGGGGAAAATCATCGAATGACTGCTCTCGCCTGGGTGAGGTGGAAGGGAGTGTCAGACTCTTACTTTTCTTTTCTGTTTTTCTTTTTTTTTCTTTTCTTTTCGCATTTGCGACCACTCGGCCAAAGAGGTAGTCAAGCGTTAAAGAAAGAAAAAAAGAAAAATCATTTATTCAGCACCAGGCACGATGCAGCATAAATAAAATATGAAAAAGACAATAAATATGTGACAGTGGAAGTAATAAAAACATTGAGTTGTTGTTAATCCTACTAATATTATAAATGCGAAAGTATGAGTATGTTACTGATTCACGTAATTAGCAAATATGCCTGAAATGAGTATGCTAGTTTTGAGCAACATTCCGACACACAAGCTACTAAGGGACAAGTGCTCAATTGAAGCATGCTTTCATCTTTGATATTAGCATGTGTAACAGTACCTTGCGCAGTACCTTAGCATGTGTAAATGTCGTGGGGCCCGGAGGTTTAATATTTGAGGGTGTATGTATGTATTAGGGTGTGGGTTCGAAATCTACCAACGGCACGTACCAATGTGACATTTTCCGAGTTAAATGTACTTTCTAACACTACCTAGACACCACTGATAAACGGTGAAGGAAAACATCGTGAGGAAACCTGGGCTTATAATTTCTATTATAAGTTTGTAATCGCCAACCCGTATTGAGCAAGCGTGGTGATTATTGCTCAAACCTTCTCCGTGTGAGAAGCGGGTTTGCTCAGCAGTGGGCATTTATAGGCTGTTGATGATGATGATGATGATGAACAGTACTTTTATAAGTGTACTTTTTGGATGCAAATAGATTATCGTTTGACTTATCTAACATTTCCATAGTATCTTACGTTAGTAGATGATTATGTATCGACATCCCATATAATAATAGTAATAACAGTATCGGGTAAAACGATCTGAAATGAGACCGAATAGTGAAATATAGGCATTGAGAAATACTTCAAAGTTTTCATCTGTTCACCACTTGAATTCTATTCACCCCGTTTCACGGTAATAATCTTTATTCATTAAAAAAGTGATCAAAATGAAATGTCGTAACTAAACAGAAATATATGGAAGATACGAAAATTAGGTCCCAAATTATATTTTTTGAATAGGATGACAGGACAATATACTAATATATATTTTTTATTTTCGTGTTTTAATATTATTAGACGTACAGTGAGTTTACACGTAGTTATTACTTGATTATATCACCAAATAAAATAGGACCCAAACACGCAATAGTTTGCAATACAAGGCGTAAAATGGATTCCTATACCTCTCTGATAACACGATTACTTGAAGATAGGGAATCTATCGTCTCACTTATTTAACCAATAACAAAAAGAGATAAAAAGTTACAGGCACTTGAGATTGTGTATATTTATTATTGACAAACGAATTAAAGCAGTAATATAAACTACAATACTGATATCATTTAATTCATTACTAAACATTGTTTCAATTCAAAATGGTGGACTAGCAAACTTTGAAAATAGAACGTTTAACATCTTTGTTGTTTGACATCTGTCAGTTAACTTTTTTTATTGTTTATATTTTGAATACCGTTACAATGAGGTTTGCATTTTTATTTTTAGTAGCAACCTCTTTGGTTTTGAGTGATTATTGTGAATGTAAACAGTTTACAAGATGCGGACTAGCTAAAACTTTGTCGCAAATAAAAGGGATTAAAAAAAGCTTTTTGGGGACTTGTAAGTATATATTTTCGGTTTTTTTATTTTAAATTTAATTATGAAGTAGTAGTAGTATTACTACTAGACATAGTACTACTACTACTAGACATTGTAGTACTACTACCTAGTAGTAGTACTACAATGTCGCGGTTGTCCATAATTAAGGCGCCTGCTTTTCATGCATGAGATTGCGGATTCGAAACCATTCATCGGCGAGTACCAATGTGACTTATTCACGGTTATATGAATTTTCTAATATTATCTAGACTCCACTGACAAAAATCTGAAAAACATCGTGAGGAAACCTGGGCTTATATTAGAGGTACCTATAAGTTTAAAATCCCCAACCCGCATTGAGCAAGCATGGTGATTAATGCTCAAACCTTCTCCGTATGAGAAGAGGCCTACGGCCAGCAGTGGCCACTTATAGGCTGTTGATATGTATGAGTAATTAATATTTTTAAAAAATGTTAAATTTAATAGGGTAGATGCCTAATTTTTATTTTAATGTCGGTATGGTAGATTATTTTAAATCATTAGACACGTTTTTTTTATTTTCTTACAGAAACGAATACTTTCGACGATATATTGATTTGAAATGTCGCGTGACGTCATTTTTAAGTATATTTTATACGTAGAAATGACGTTTTAGCCCCCACTTCTAAACTTTGATTTGTTTTATCTAAGTATTGTTTTATTATACGATAAAATAAAAAAAAAACGTACATATCTAATATCAATTAGATTTTTAATTTGCATACCCTGTCATCATCCCAATTTACTAGAATAATAATTATCATCATTTGTTAGAAACGAATTGGGCATCTATTTTTAACCTACTTCATATTATACGTGAGCCGAATCAATTACGTACAATACATACTAACAACTCGTTAATAGGTCAAACAAGTTTACAACTAGACTAATTATGCAAAAAATACGCCGCGGAAAATACTCCACATCTAAACAACGACATCTGACATTGAAATCCATTCAATGCAAAATATTCTTTAAGATGAAGTAGTTAAGAGCTATAATGAGTATAAAAAGATAATTGATGGATACATTTACGTTCATAAACAAGAGAAGAGTCATGTGGAGTGCACGTGTGATTGTGTTTTTTTGTTTCGTTTTGTATGTGGCCAGTGCTAAAAGATTTGAGACAAGATGCAAGTTAGTGAGGGAATTGATGAAAATTGGAGTGCCTAATGATATGTTCTTGGGGCAATGTAAGTAACCGTAGATACCTACTACAATTATTTTTATTTAAAAATTAATATTTATTTGTTATACTGCCTTGTTGGCCGAGTGGTCGCAAGTGCGATTGCCGGGCAAGGGGTCTCGGGTTCGATTCCCGGGTCGGGCAAAGTATTATTGGGTTTTTTAAAAATTCTTAGTAGTAGCACGTAGTCTAGAATTGTGCCCGGTATATAGCAATAGGCTCCCATATTACATGGGACTCATAACATAAATAGTGAAAAGTGGGTGTTGCATTGTACCGTGGTATTAAGTGCCATAAAAAAAAAATAAAAAAATAAAATAAAAATCATTTATTTCAGACTACAAACTTCATAGACACGGCAATATTGTTAGTACAGCAAATCAACTTATAACTAACTACCAGCCCGTCCCCGGCTATGTCAAATTGGAAGAATGTAGCATACTATTGGTGAAATATTTTTTTAAATCGGCCCAGTACTTTTGAGCCTATTCATTACAAACATACAAACATACAAAAATAGGTACAAATCTTTCCTCTTTATAATATTAGTATAGATGTTATCACCAATAATTAAATTCAATTAAATAAAATTAAACTTAAGCTTAACACGAAATATGGAGGGAGAGAGTCTACTCAATAGGCTCACCGGTCCCGACCGTACCCCTACCTAATGCCTACCCCTTCGGGGATAAAAGATGTCATGTTATGTTATGTTATCCAGAAATATTGCATTCATAACTCACCTACTAGATGTAACGCAACATTTTTCCTCAATGTCTAAAAGAACTGTTATTACGTTACTCATTCTAAACTACATATGATGATCACACTAAGGGAAGAATGATATCACGACTTTGTAAGTTGTTAACTACTATAAAATATGAGTAATACACAGCAAAATTAGTGTGTCTTTGAGTATTTCTCGACACATTATTTTTATGCCATAAGCCTGTAAACGAGTAGACGGATCACCTGATAGTAAGCAATCGGTGTCGCCCATGGACACCTGGAACACCAGAGGCGTTACAAGTGCGTTACCAGCCATTATTGGGGATTAGGAGTTTGAGGCTCGTTGGGTATTCAGGGATTGGGGAGATCAGGGAAGGGGAGGGTAATTGGGCGTCCGGTAACGTCACTCATATGATAGTTTACATTAGGTAGATATTCGTTTGATTGCACTGGAGACTCGACAATAAAAGAAACGGGATGTATCTTTTTTGATACACTGTAAATATGTTCTACTATCAGCCCGTCCCGGCTTCGCACGGGGTAACAATTATTTATTTTTGGAAATTTGGATTGTTGTAGTGACATAACTACAATAGTTGGACATATGCTACCGCGGCATTTTTTTAAGACATTATGATGTTTTTCAATAATGTTGTACATTATTTTGTTCTATCGCTAATAGTTTCAGCAGCGCATTCGACGAAAGACATTTTAAGACTCATTTTTCTACACCTTCGGTTACATTGTTCAAATTTTACCAAGGATCCCTAATTTTATTCAAAATGAAATGTAGCCCATGTCAAATTGGAAGAATGTAGCATTCTATTGGTGAAAGATTTTTTTAAATCGGCCCAGTACTTCTTGAACCTATTCATTACAAACTTACAAACAACATACAAAAATAGGTACAAATCTTTCCTCTTTATAATATTAGTATAGATATAAATAAAAATAAATTTCCGTTCGTTAGTCTCGATATAACTCGAGAATGGCTGAATCGATGTGGCTAATTTTGGTCTTGAAATGTTTGTGTTCCATAGAAGGTTTAAAAAGTGAAAAAAAAAATACGAATTTTGTCGGGTTAGCTAGTTAGATATTTTTTTTTGAGAAGCGACTTTGTTATTGAGCCACACTATATCGCCACAATTTACAAAAGGATAACTGAAATTGAATGAATGAGTTATTACGCAAACACACATAAAAAGCGTTTATACGTAATGTCGAATTAAAAAACCTTTCGCTTCTTTGAAATCGGTTAAAAATAAAACAAACGTATGCCGCCAAAAAATACCTCATTTAATTTTCCTTTGTAAAAAAATTAAACATGGAGTCTGACTTAAAAAACTTAATTAATAGTCTAAAGTTTTACATAGAAGTGCGATTATGCGGTAAGTGCAATATTTAAGTCACGTAGCGACCTCTATAACTGTGTTTAGCATACATTATAACATTGTAATGTTCTGACACGAACCTTTCAATATTTTTGTTTTAAATTCACACAAAATGGTATGTGAAATATAATTACTTAAATTACTATCTTTTTTAAGCGAAAGAAGTATGTAAAAATAGTAGCAATTGTCATTCCATAGTCATGTGGGTAGGTAGAGACCTACCACGCCATACCACCACCATAAAGTTTCATCAAAAACAGTTTAACTCGTGTCAAATTCCAGTACCTATTATTTTTTGAGAGCGAAAATCACTGAATGTCTCCTCCCTATTCAGGTGTTAGGTAGTTACAATTAATTTGAATATAATTTCTTTTAACATTTTTATTATAATAGAAAACTAACAACTAAACTTGTAACGCCTCTGGTGTTTCGAGTGTCCATGGGCGACGCCAACTGCTTACCATCAGGTGATCTGTCCATTAAAAAAACACGGTGGTGACCCTCTAGTCTCTTACTACAAAAATTGTACCATAAATCAAAAACCGAAATAAAATCAATTGGTTGCAAATCTACCTCTATTATATAAAAGAAAGTCGTGTTAGTTACACTATTTATAACTCAAGAACGGCTATATCGATTTGGATGAAAATTGGTGAGGATGTAGCTTAGAACCAGGAGACGGACATAGGATACTTTTTACCCAATACTAATATTTTACTTTAACCGAAAATCAAGAACGGGTTCGGGAAATATCGGGATTGCGCGTACGAAGTCGCGGGCAGAAGCTCTAGTTGATTATAAAAGTAGGTGGAGGCGCAAGAGCTTAGTTTCAACCCCCAAGACAATTATTGGGATAGCCGACGTAGAAAATTATAAAACAAAACAAAATTATACTCGAAACATGATTGCTTATTATAACATGAATTTTGATAAATCCAATAGGTATGTACAGGATTCTTAAAAAAATCCAAACCAGTACTAAAATATAATATTAGATAGAAACCAAACTTGAACATAAATATACACAAGTCAATTACAATTATATCCTAAATAAACCGCAAGTTAAGGAAGTTTTGGTTAAAGTTAACTTGAACTTTGGTCTTCGGGTGTATATTTTGAGTATCACTGACCAGTAACCGCACTCAAAGGTAATTTAAAACGAATACTCTGCTTGAATTACACAACATCAATAGCCTTTAATATTCTACTAGCCTTTCAGAGTAACGACGGAGTTTCTTGCTCGTTCTTCTCAATTCTAAACTATACTTAGGAAGGAGCTTCACTGACAGACAGACGGACGGATAGTTAAATTTTTGTCGTTTGAAAAGTGCGGATTAAAATTGAAATAAATGCTTTGACTTTAATTTTACTGGGCCTGTATATAGGTCTCCTCTAAAAAGAGAGTTTGGCATAATCTTTACGCTTGACGCAGGTGGATCAAGTTCAGAAAGTGCTGTTGGAAGATTTCTGTCAAATATGTATAATCCAAT